CAACACATATAACAGACTAAATACAGAAACATGAGAATCCAGCCATGTTCTATTGAGAGATCTGCAAATTTACCAAACTAACCATGCTTTAAAAAAAAAATGGTTGTTTTTTTTTATACAAGTCAACACTGATAATGGGTTTATTAATTTGTTATTTTCTCAGTTTTAGTTTCCTTCTTCCCTTCATTCCTTCCTCCCTTCTCTCTGTCTCTGTCTCTCCCTCTCCCAGAGGGAGGCAAAATCTTGCTATGAAGCCCAGACTGACTTCAAATTCTCAATCCTCCTGCCTCAGCATCTTTAGTTCTGATATTACAATAACTACAACAAATAATGACAGACAGAATTAACTTAATGTTCTTTAGTCCAGTATCATTTGAGTTAAAGGGGAACTGAGGCAAAATATCTGAGAACCACTGAACAAACTTCAATTATTTTTTTTCTTGTTTTATTTACTTTCTTTCTTTCTTTCTTTTTTTTTTTTTTTCGAGACAGGGTTTCTCTGTGTATCTCTGGCTGTCCTGGAACTCAACTCTGTAGACCAGTCTGGCCTCGAACTCACAGAGATCCTCCTGCCTTTGCCTCCCTGAGTGCTGGGATTAAAGGTTCAACCTTCAATATTTTAATGACAATTGTAAAGAAGATTTCAAAGATTAGATTTTAATTTAGTGTATTAAACTTATTTTAAAGTCTATCCTAATATTAATCCACTTAATGAAAAGTGTAAGAGCTTGTGACACTTAGAACCCTCTTCGGTGCCACTTCTATGTATTATGGTTCAGTGTTGGGCAAGACCACCCGGTTATTTTCATATTCTGAAAGCACTGGGCCAAGACTGATCAAACCTGTGGATGAGTGTTGACTTAAATTGCCTGTTTGAATACAACATAGAATTATATAAATGTGTTTTAATTTTAGTTTGTGCTATGAAGAAAACAAGTTTGTCTCTGTCTTATGTTAAAAGACCTAGCTATCTCTAGGAACAGCCATCAGGGAGATCGTGACTGTACACCTTTCTGACATGAAGATCTAGTGTGGCATCTCTATAGCTGATCTATGGACTCCATACCCTCTGCCAAAATATATGGGGAAGCCAGCGTAGACTGAGTGGGAAGGCCCAACTTCTTGCCCCAAAGTATAAGGAACAGACTCTATTGGATCTTTGAGCTGGTAACTGAAGAGTAAGAGTGGGGAGTGTGAGCGAGTGTGCTGAGCGGCTCTGCTTTCCACTCCTGGAGTATGAAGGAGAGCAACTGCAGTTAGGAAACACCCTTCCCATCAGCCTTTGAGGTATCCTAAGGTCATGTGCACACCAAAGCCTTCCTATCTTTTCCTTCAGGCTTTTGCAGTAGCACAGGCCAGCTGAAGAACGTTGTCTATGAACATTACCAAAACAAATATTCACAACTTTTATGGACTGGAATATTTTGGAGACCTCTAATTGTGTTAAAGCCAAGAACAGTTTGCTGAACTAATAATGCCCAGAGGAAAAAATAAAATTATGTGTGTTGGCTTTATCCATTAAATCAGTTGGGCAGTGGGCAATGAAGTAAAATATTACATGGAGGAAAGCACAAAACAAAATGCTTCAGTGTGTCTTCCGTGTGCTTTCAAGAGAGGGAGAGAAGAGACTCACTGCTGAGAGCTAACTGGCCTACGCTGGCCCCCAAAAGCGGCTGGAACCTCAGAGCTCAATATGTGGCGCATCCCACTTCATTGCAATGTATTTTTTAAATGCCATGGATTTAGGAACAGCAACAATTGATGTACTGTAACAAAGAGGTGCAGGAGATAAGTTAAAAGTGGAGGAAATAACCTAACAAAAAACTGCAAGCAGTGTAAGTTGGCAGGCTTTATTTAGACCACTTTTTTTTTCTAGAGAAATTAGGATTCTTTGTTGCAGTTCTTCTTTGACTGATAGATTATGCTTAAAATAGACCCTAGTTTTCTGTTCCTGCTATGAAGCATAGAAGATTATTTTGTTATAATTATATTTCATTAATAAAAATGATGAAAATATGCAATATCCAATTTAGAGATCAGCCTACATTTTTATCTTAATGAAATTATAAGGTCAATCAGTTTCCTATGGACAATTAGTCATTTGTGATCCACCTTCCTTGCAGGTTAAAAATAGCTACAAATATTTGTCACTCCTAGGAATACTACCTGAAATTCTAACAGTCAATCAAATTTGTAACTCCCCTTTTCAAGGAGACTGCTCTGCAATACATAATGTCATAATATTACTAATTTCAAATTACAGATTTAAAAATACATTCTGGTATTTTACAGTAAAAATATCGCTGACAAGCCATCTTTTTCTGTATTTGGAGAATGCAATTACTGCTAGAGGTGCAAAACCAGAGCCCATAGTCAAATGTCTCCAACAGTAGTCTGTTATACACTTTTTGGTACTGCACCTTAAGGCCAAGTAAGTGAGTCTAGCCCCACCTGGCTGGTAGCATGATGTAATTACCTCGATGAGTGCCCCATTGGAAGGAGAAGCCGCACAGTCTAGAGAGGCTGGAAGTGTCTGCCTGAGCCTGACGACCCTCCCTACTGATGGTGACTAGTGAATTAATCCACCTGCACTCTGAAAGCAAAATTATTATATTGAATAGGATGGGGTGGGTTTTTTTGTTATTGTTGTTTTGACTTTTTTTTCAACGTACTTAGAAAAGAAATAGCTTCACTTTCATTTCTATGAACTGTTGCAGTGAGTATCTGGCCTGTAAGACAAAGAAGCCATGCTTTATTTGTCTGAAATCTGTGTATTTCCACAGGAAAGTGACAAACAACCAAACAAAAAGGTACCTCATATTATTAAAAAGAAAAAAAGTATATAGTTTAACAATTCTGCCTGTAAAGTAGGTGAGACGACTGTTTAAGATTAGTAATGGACTTTTAGGGAAACCTGAAGCACAGGCTGTGGAAACGAGCTCCCCACAAGGTGGGGGTGCAGTTGGCCTCTGTGCACGCTTCGCTTGGAATGTGCCTGACCTTGCTCTTGTTTCTTAAAAATACATGACTAGGAATTTTCTTTGAAAATTCATATTTCTATTGTTGCAAACAAAAAACAGTGCATTGGTGGAGATATCATACTGATTATATGCTTATTTACACTACATATGCACAATATGGAAGAAAACAGTTTTAATGATAAATTTAAAATCATGCTTTGTAATTTAAACCTTTATGATCGGGTCATTCTTCCCTTTGTTTTATATTTGCCAAGTTTTTGAAATGATGTGAGACTTACATTTGGAATTCCTGGTGCTGCCCTGTTTACACTATTATGCAGGGTTACTTTTTGCTACTTTGGAGACTCCTTTGTGTCAGGCATCTCTGCAAAGTGGATGGCTTAGGGGGATTTTGTTTTTTGTCTTGGAGGGTGTGAAAAGTCGAGTGCAGGAGGGGGAAGTTTGTGGAAATGACAACTGCAATAACCTCATGCATATTGACATTGACAAGTAGGGGACAGATAGTGCTTTTCAACAGTGTAAGGTAGGGCCCCACTTCTGGTTCCAGCTCTAAATAAGATACAGAAAGCAAAACGAGACCCCCTGCACACTAACAGGCCAAGTCTACAATTAGTTGCAGAAGCAAAAGCTCTTGCACCTTATTCTAAGGCCCCAAGTCAGTTAATTGGGTCTTCAATTAGCCTCTCGGGTTGTAATCAATTACAAGTGTAATTTCTGTGTGTGAGCGTATTTTGTGCAAAAGTAGTCTCACCAAAACCAAAGCATAAGTGAGGGAAAGATTCAGATCTGTCTTTTCTCACTGATAGGCACAGAAGAACAAAACCAAAGGCTCTGTGCAGTGCCAGCATTTCCTCGCCAGCTCCCACAAGCCCTGGGTCAAAGCACATACTCTGTAATCTAGGAAAGTCTGTTTATTACTATTAAATTTTTCTGATGTTTTTTTAAAAACCTTAGTTTCAGTTATATAGTAATTATAATATTTTCTTTCATATTACTGTTTAGATGTGATGTTTCTTTACCACACACCAGTGTTCAAACAGTATTTCCATGTCTGAGCACAAGTTGTAGCCTAGGATTTTACTACACTAGATCATTGGCTGTGCTGCTCTACTTAAAAGGTCTTAACAAAGCACTAACAGGTAACATTGAAACCCAGTGGGTTTTGCTAGTTGTCAAAACTCTACTAAGTCAGCGTAAAAAAAAAAAATCCAGACTTATTCAAGAAATTTAACAGCCTAGGTAGAGGCAAAACAAAGCAAAGCAAGCAGCCAGCAAATGCAAACACCCACAGTAACTCATGTCTGAAACAAACTTCCAGCACAAATTTCTGAATTTCCCTGTGTCACTTTGGCATACCTATTTTACCACTGCGTTTCAGACAACAGCTTTTAAGTTCCCCAATTCATAAATGTAATTAAATAATTACATTAGTGCTAATTAACATGAAACTGCAGATTATTTAAGCGCAAAAAACACTATTCAACTTCTTAATTATTCTTGTTCACACAGCATTTCCTTTTGCTCAGGCGCCCTAGGTGCAAATAAAACATCCCATCTGCTCGCAATTAGAACTAAATAATTTCAGAGAATGTAGCTTATCATTTTGACTGCACATTTGATTAAAAACAGTGTACAAGCAATATCCTGGCTATTGGTGTAACAGCAACAACACACACAAGCCCGTGTTCTTCCATCATTAAAAAGGATCCAAAACATTATCTGTTATTTCAGGGGGAAAAATACAACTTTTTAGTTCATTTCATACAGATGAAAGCGAATTACAGCAAATCACCTCTCCACTGAATAGCAGCCCCCACATAATGACTTTATTTGCTTAATCCCCAAATTAAACGCCGTTTCGAGCGAGGGCCCTGTGTTATTACTCTCATCATGTCGAGAACATTTTCCTGCCGAGACCAATTTGAATAAAACAAGGGGCCTTCCTTGAACTCAATCAAGGAGCCATAATGTGGTGGGTAATAGAGGTTGCTGATAGATTTGCAGGCAAAAGTGTTATACCTAATGATGGGATATGGATAATAGTCCTCCTGGAGGTCCTGATGCGACTCCAGTTGGCTGCCAGATGCTGAAAAGCAAGAAGAGCATTGATCAGTGACAGGAAGCTGTAGTGGATTCATCTAGTCAAACTTCAGCTGTTTTTCCACTGTACAGTTAAGCCAGGCATAAATTATATTAATTGATTTAATTACATACTTAAAACATCTTCCCCAATTAATTTAATTAGGTGGCTACATGATGCTACTGGCAGGGGAAGATTAGAGGCAGCTCACTTAATTAACAGAATATGAATGAAAAAAAGAGAAAGCAAACATAAATGAAATTGTGAGCACTAATTAAAAGGCTGTCTGCAAACTTAAATACTTTCTGACAAAGTGGTGACAGCAATGTAGACAAGTGAGGATTTTTTTCTAGCAAATTAAAATGTCAGAAGGTGTGTAATATACATAGATATAGAGAAAAGGTAGTGCAGTTAAAACATTGACTTTCCAACACAACTACTACAGTCAAAACAAAAAGAATTTTCTTTTATAGAAAAATTGCAGCAGATTTTACAGGCATATAAGCCAGACTCTGAGTTAAGACTAAAATATGCTGCACAAACAAACAGGGTTTGTGCATCTTATACTGAGGAGACTTATAGATGAAGGATGCTGGGCAGGCGGGCGACTGGAGAGGGAAGGGGAGATAAAGAGACAAGTTATTGCAGTTGTTCAAGCAGGAAATGTTTAGAAAAAGAGGTCTGCTTTAACAGCTGGCAGCCTGGTGCACCTTGGCTCGAATGCGGAAATTCTCCAGGTGTCTCTGACGAGATTCCTTTAGTATCTTCTTTAGTCTTGTCTTCTGGCAATGTAAAAGCCACGCAAGGGCAATCACACCTGAGGCCCACTTCTTCTGGCGATAACACATGAAGAGTTTTCTCGCCCTATAACATTTCCATGTGGCTTGGATCTTGATGGCAGCCTCGTTCTTTCCATCTTGGCCCTGATACCTCCGTCCCGGCAGGTTTAGCAGCATTTGGATGTGAAGCGGGTTCTCTAACACAGACAAAACGTCATTTCTGGTGAGCTTATTCTTCAGCTCAAATTCTGGAAGCAGGGCCACCAAACTCTTCCCTTTTACTTTGGCGTCCGTTATTGCATAGTCCTTGAGAAACTTCTCGATTTGTTGCAGGAGAGAAACAATACTTCCCCAGGCTAAGCTATAATGTGCCTTGAAGGCTAAGAAGTCTGGAGCGGTCTTATCTATGGTACCATCATAAATTATAAAGTCATAATCCCATGATGACTTCACAGATTTAGCTGGTGTAGTAATTTTCATGGCCTGGGGAAAGAAAGTTTGCCAGAAGTGAAATATCTTCTGATTTTTTTAAGAGTGTGATCAACACATATGTACTAACACTTTGCAATTACCACTTAGTGATGGGAAAATATGGCTACTAGGATTGATTTTACATATGTACATCAGGATGTCAAATACTGTCATTAAACTCATTACCAGGAATATCTGAGAGATCAGGAAGGGCCATTAAACTGCTACAAAAGTATTTCTACATATATAATATAAATTTATAAATTTTTATATATTATATGGTGATATATTCCTGTTTATAATATATAATGATCTGTTTCCTTGAGTCACTTATAACAGTTATATATAAAACACATCTTTACATATAATGATATATGTAAGATATATTTATCTTTATATATATGGTCACCGACCATACCAAAGGAAACTAAAAGCAGAAACTTTTATGATCTGTTTCCTTAAGCCATTTTACAAATTATATATACAATACAGATATTTATCTTTATTATTATATATTAGTATAGTTATTAATTATATAAGTATATAATATCTCACAATTATTTTATCTATTCACCCATAGTCTTAATAGTCTTAAATAGTCTTAAATAGCTATGCCCTTTTTCTTAACTCTTCATCAACCCTAAAACAGGGAAGTACCCTATTTTATGTATAAATGTCCAGAGAAATCCTCTAGGAGTGCGGTGGGGGGGGGTATTTCTTTTAAATATTTTTCTATATTAAAAACATCATGAATTATAAGTTCAATAAAATCAGAAGAGATTTGGATGACAAAAGTAAAACATAATATTATCCTCACTTAAAGAAAACCAAACCTGGGTCTGGTGGCATAGGCCTGTCATTCCAACTGCCTGGAGTGCTGAGGAATAAGAACCGTAAGTTTGAGACTTGCCTAAACTACAGAGTGATTTGCCCATCATGCACAACCTAGCGAGAGATTTTGTCTTAATATAAAAAATGAAAAAGCACTAAAGATAGGTTCCATTGTAGTGAAGTCAGATATTCAAACCTTAGTACTAAAAAGGAAATTTTGCCAATAAAAAAAACACCACTGTATTTTAACTACTGATACTTGTTACATGAGAAAAAGAGACATTTTGCACCAGGATCCAAAAGTCCTGGTGACTAGGAAAGTAGGGAGGGAAGACACAAGAAGGCATGGTGTTTTTGCCTTGAGTTCTCCATGATGACTGTTTCTGCCTTCTCGGGGATTTAAGAGGTTGATTACCTTCAGCATATCCATTGAACATACATTTGTATCAAATCACAGGGTTATACTTTTCTCTGTAATTTTAAGAGCTTCCACAAAACTCAAGGGGGAAAATCAATGGATTTGTCAAGAACTATTGTGCCATGGCTTAGGTTGGTTCATGCTCTGTCTCAAATACTGTTAACTGTGAACAATCAATAGGTTCAAGGCCAAAACCCTCAAAGTCTGAGAGTCTCAGACAAAAGAATAAGACAAGATATTTGTTTATACCAAAGACACAGTAACCAAACACAGCAAAATAAAAATCTTCAAATTCCGTCCTCGGGTTCCAAGGAGAATAATAAACTGTCATCTCAAGTCAAAATACTAAGTGCAGAAGGGGGAAGTCCCCTTAGCATTAGATGCCAACTCCAAACAGCAATGAGCTTTTGCATGCTTTTAACTGAAGAAACTGTTATAAAGCATAAAAGCAATGGAAATTTTTTTTTGCCAAGATTATCTCTCTTTCTAATCTAATCAGGACAGCAAGAGAATGTAAATTGTTTTACAGATGGAAGTAAATTTCTTCTTCCTGAGTGGGCAAGAGAGGGTTTGACAAGGAATGCTCCCATTAGCAGACGTTAGTGCTGGCAGGATGAACCGTGAGTCTAGGCAGAGGATGGCAGGTGGCACATGTTCCCGAAGAAGTAGCCCATGGCTATATTTCCACCTCCCTGCAAGGATGGGTTCTGATGGCGGGAGGTTAGAATTCAGAGAAGAATGGCAGGGCTCCATCAGCAAGAAACAGACATGTGGAATGGCCACAGATGGCCATGCATGGAGCTGGCTGGTCTTGCTAGTCACATGTTTGATCCAGTCATGAAGACTCAGACCCCTATAGGAAGCAACGGCTATGGATGGGTGGTTTGCCAGAGAATCCTGTATCCTTAAAGATGTTCAGATATTTTCAAAATTCCTTTTCTTAGGGAGAACAGTAAGGAAATGGGTCTGTTTGTGAAACAGAACAGTCTGGGGCAGGGGTTCAGAAGGGGAAGAACCTCCATCTCTCTTAAGACAATGCCCTTCTGCAGGCTGGGTCTAGGATATCTGTGTACATCAACAAACATGGGTTAGACCTTCCGATAGAATCACCTAGGGTGGACTGGAGTTGTAGACTTTAACAGGGGTTGTTTTAGAACAAAAGGATTACACCTTTTTACCTTCTTGGATGAGAAACCTGCTCTCAAAGGAAAAATGCTCCTGGACATCAAATAGACTACTCAAGTGCCAAGAAGCTATGGGCCTGGAGTCAGCTAAAGCATAGCTGTAGTACATCTGTCACAGAGAATGCCACACACGGGAGCACTTCAGACTTAGAGCAAGAAAAGACATGCCTCTCAAGAGGAAGGCTTCCCAAATTAAAGCAGTGTATCAGCATTGTGAGATGCACTGAGCAGGTGAAGACCGAGCAGCTTCACAGCCTGCTGGGAATGAGAGCCCTGATTAAAGGTCATGCCATGCTTCAGGTGCTGCCTTCTTCTGTTGTTCTTCCTTTCGTCTCCACAAACTTGTCGAGTGTCATTTGTAGGTGTCCCCCATGTCCTTCCTTTTCTCCCTCTTTTGTTTACAATGCCTTGCTCTCCCAGAGTGAGATCACTAAGCAGCCAAGTGGGGTGCTGTGCTGAGACATCTGCATCTCTCACCCTCTTCTTTCTTGGGACCAGGGCTATACCCATCCTCTATGAATCCACCCCTCCCGCTGCAGCTCAGACCTGTAGCTGTGGCCTAATTATTAGCATCCTGCTCTAACTGACTGAGTCAACTAGCTGGGAAATGCTCTTTTTCATTTACAAAGTGTAATCACTAATTAGGTAACTTTCAGAGTTTCTGGAGCAGTTATTTAGGGGAAATTCTAAATCTAAAGCAAAGCAGAGGAAGGCAGGATGATGACGTGTGTTAGTTAAGACCCAATGGGAAGCAACATAGATAGGCCCAGGACTGCAGCTGTACTAGAAGATTTAGGAATAACGTCTGCAAAGATGAAAAGAACACATTCAGGAGAAAGAACTCACTTCTAAGTGATTTTTTTTTTTTGGTAGCAGGTATCAAACCCAGGACTTCATGCATGCTAAGTAAGCACTCTCTCTACCTTGGGCTACATTGCCAGCCCTAGGCTACTTTCTTTATCATTATTGTTGCTGTTGTTTTTGAGACAGGATCTCACTATATAGCTCAGGCTGCCCTCAAACTTAACCCTCCTGCCTCAGCCTCTTGATTGCTACTAAGATTGTAAGCATGCAGGCCCGTGTTAAGGTCCTTGGCTATTCTTTTAGATTCTAAAGAAATCTAAAATTTAGAAGATCTGGGTTCAATTCTCAGCTCTCATAGGGTGGCCCATATCTATCTGTAACTCTAGGTCCAATGGATCCAACTCTCTCTTCTGATCTCTGCAGGTACTAGAAATACATGCAAGAAACATATATATATATATATGTATGTATATATATATACATACATACACACACACATATTTTTAAAGTTACAGGCATACACCATCATACCAGGCTAAGATGAATTTCTTGTTTTGGTTTTTTGGTTTTTTTCGAGACAGGGTTTCTCTGTGGTTTTGGAGCCTGTCCTGGAACTAGCTCTTGTAGACCAGGCTGGTCTCGAACTCACAGAGATCCGCCTGCCTCTGCCTCCCGAGTGCTGGGATTAAAGGCGTGCGCCACCACCGCCCGGCTAAGATGAATTTCTTAATGAAAAAATAGTTTTCATATACATGAGCAGCAGATGAACATTGTATCAAACTGATCTCCTAGTGGTGAATGGTGGGATACCTGGAAATCCCTGTACAGATGCTAACCATTCCACTCCCTGGAAGGAGAGACCACAATACTCTGCTGCAGGAAAATATTTGGTCTCTCAATCACCAAACACATCTCTTAGGAACTGTTTAGGTAGTTGTACTATAGAACTGAGAAAGTTCTTCCTACATATATAGTTCTAAGTGAGAGTGTAGATGAAGGGATGGAGAGTTTCTCTTAAGTCTTTAGTATTCCTCAAAGACCAAAGACATCATTTGTCTGACCTTGTTTTTTATTTCTAGTGAAGGTCCTCAATGTGTCAATCTTTGTACAAAACAAAGTTGAGATCCTCAGTGGGCTCAAACTGTTCAAAAGACACAACATTCAGAGAGAGAGAGAGAGAGAGAGAGAGAGAGAGAGAGAGAGAGAGAGAGTGTTGCTGACTTAACTGCAGCTTAGGAACATAGCATATGCACAGTTCTGACTTTTCAAACATAAGGTATCTTGAAAATCACTAGCTTTGTCTTTTGCTCAATAGACTGTTATGGGCCCATCAGAACAAGCTTTGGCCCTGAAGTCCACTATCCTTGGTTCAAAGCCTTGCTCTGCTGCAGTCTGATGCATACAGCAGGCAAAACATTACCCTCTGAGGACCTGAATTTTACCTTCTGCAAAAAAAAGGGGGGGGGGGTGGGAATTCACAAAGACTTTTCCCAGGCCTCACCTTGCCACAGTGGTCAGCATATAGACAGGGAAACGGATGCTCAGAGATGGTGAATGAGTTGTGTAAGATCATAACTCTTTGTGGAACTCCTAGGACGTTTCTGCTATAATAAAAAATAGCCACATTCCTAATGTTCCCAATACATACAGACCTAAAAGAAAGGATTCCTACGTGATGCTCACCCTCACCCTCTTTTCATTGTCTTTCCTCATTCCTCCTCATGTTCTCATGGTGTTTGCACATTTCACTCTTCCATACACTTACCCTACATTGTTCCTACTTCCATACCTCCAAGTTCTCACAGTCTAATGTTTCCAGAATTTTCTGTGTGGCTTCTTCCTGAGCTATGCAGTCCTTGTTCAGTCTTCTAGTGACCTCTTATGTCTGAGACAACCTGTCCTTCCCTTGACCTGGTATTTCTTCTTATTTACTAGGTTGGAAAGCAATTTGTTAAATTAAGCCCCACGAATACAAAAAGGGATATTACATGGTATGATGGAAAAATGGTGACTCAGAAGCCAGAAGACCTGGGATCTAGTCTATACTGCCTTCCTCTGTGATCTCTGCAAGTCACTTCCTCGGCAGGACTTGAATTTCTATTAAGAAACCACTTAGTCAAAGCTTAACAAATACTTGTAATTTTCCACCCTATGTCCTCCCTGGCATCACATTTCACCCCCTCTAGATGTGTTGGCTTTTAATTTTTTTTCTTATTTTTCTGTTTGGGACAGCGGCTTCAAACTTGCTATATAGCTTGCTGAAGGTAGCCTTGAACTTCTGGTCCTGCTATCGTCACCTTCTGAGTGCTGAGCTTGCAGGCAATTTGTCACCATGTCTGGTTTTATGCAGTACTGGGGAGCAATCCAGGGACCTGTGCATTCCCAACAGGCACTGTGCCTCCTGAGCCACATCCTCAACCTGGTACCCTTTTAAACAAACTGCTGGAGCGAGTAAAACCACAAAACCAATGACCTCAGCACTGTCACTTTCTGACCATGTCAAAGACCAGAGAGACTTTTCTTCTCCAGTTTTTATACATAAAATTATTTGTAGCAACTTCCTGACCAAAATGAATGACAAATTACCCACACTACATGCTGTACAGAACTGAGAAAACCCCAAAGAGTAATATTCTAGAATTCTGAGGTTTGTGGATGAGCAGGACAGTCCTTAGATGGCAAGACATGGAAGCTACCTAAGACTGGACTGTCGGAGTACACAGCCCACACAAAGGGCATAAAAGGCATAGGAACAGAAAGGTACAAAGGGAAGGGATGGAGTATAAAGGGCATCTGTGTCAGCAGCAGTTTTCTAGAATAACGTTAGCCATTCCTTTGAAAGGTGCCATATTCAACCAGGCCTTTTTCAACTCTGAAACTGTTCTGAAAAGTGCCCATGCTTAGGTGAACTCTCATGGAACAGAAACACCCAGTCCATCAAGTCCATATGAAAGATCAAACAGCAGGACCAGAGAAGCATTTTAAATAGACAGGGTCTGTTTTCAGTCAAATGTGAAATTCCCTTTTCCGGAGGCACATTTTACTTCACTACAGCATTGATTCCATCTTTTCTGATACCCTTCAAATGCTCGCTGAGAAAATGTGGCACAGTTAAGGACCACTTGGGACAATTATGATGGATGAGTTGAGCCTGCTGGGGATATGCACAGGCAGCATGACAAGCTGGGGATCAAAAGCAGCTTCATTCTCAGGTCCCTAAGCAAAGGCACATCGTTTTCTCTTTAGATACAGGAGAAAGAGCTGGGCTCAGAAAGGATCACCATTATCACAGAAGTGAAACTTGGCATTCCCGTTTTCCTCAAGAAAAGGTGTGCGCAGAGGAAGTCTGTTGGTCACAAACTACTTAAGAATGTCTACAGAATTCTCACAATGCTCTACTTGGGCGCATTCTTTTTTTTTTCTTTTTTCTTTTTGGACTTTTTGAGACAGGGTTTCTCTGTAGCTTTTGGTTCCTGTCCTGGAACTAGCTCTTGTAGACCAGGCTGGCCTCGAACTCACAGAGATCCGCCTGCCTCTGCCTCCCGAGTGCTGGGATTAAAGGCGTGTGCCACCATCGCCCGGCGGGCACATTCTTCACAGCTATGTGAGTATTCAGCTTCAATGTTCTTCCAAGTATGGATCATTCTAGGACATTACAGTAGATGTCTGTTATCTGCCTTTCTCAGTAAAAGAGAAGTCTCAAGAGGGCAGGAAGTTAAGTTTGCTTCACTCACAGTTGTGTTTTGCTGCCACTGTGGTCCACTGCTTGACGCATAGTCAAAAGTCAGTGAGGATTTGATGAGTGAGTATATGTGTATGTTTAATTTGAACTGTAAGCCGTTTGGGTCAATGAACTTCAAGCTCTGTGCTATAAACCAGTTTTTGTGATCAGGTAAGATGTCTAGCATTTGTAATTTAATGTTGATCAATATGATAGCTGTTAAATCTATGGGATATCTTTAATTGTGGAATATTATGTAGTAAGTTCTTAACAACATTGTACAAGCTCATGATAAAGTATTAAAATAAACTCAGAGTTAAAGGCACAGTGGAAAATCAGGAACATGACAAGGAACATAAATATTGTCAAAGGGTTATAATGTCATCAGGAGATTCTCCCATACTTGTTATTTTTCTCCTTTCTGGACTTTATTTTTTTTCCTGAGTAATCATTAAAAAATGTGTTAAGTGAAATACATAAGGGAAAATATTACTTTGTGGATCACTAATAAGTTAACCTCTTTTCTGATGTGTATAAATAGTCATTTACATGCAACAAGTATATGCAGTAGGCAATGTTGACAATCTTAATAATACTTGAACTTTCTTCTCTCAATTGTTTTTACATGAAAAAAACTACTTTTCAAATAAAAACCATATAATTATGTTTACTTTGAAAGTTTAATGGCAAAATGATTAGGTGGGAGGGGCGATTTAATAGAGAAAATTAAAACAGCTTCTAAAATATTCTGCAATCTCCTTTTTTGGAATTTCCCCCCTTTCTTAAATAAGGTCTTATGAGAGAGAGAGAGAGAGAGACAGAGAGAGACAGAGAGAGGCATAGAGACATAGAAGCAGAGAGACAAGGAGACAAAAAACAGAGAAGTAAAGAGAAAGAGAACCAGACACAGAGAGACAGGGAGACAAAGAGGCAGACACACACACACACACACACACACACACACACACACACACAGAGAGACAGACCCAGAGACAGAGAGATAGAGGGGCAGAGAGGTAGACCTTGACTGACTTTTGAACACACACACACACACACACACACACACACACACACACATATATATATATAATATTAGATAAATGGTCAAATATACATATATATGAGAACAGATGAGGGACGTGACAGATCGAATGCTGTACAAGTTGTCTAATTAAAATGGTTTAGCGGACTCATCTATACAATATTAAGTTTTCCACTGAGGTGATCACAAGAATATATTGGAAATACTAAAGAAACTAACATTATAATTGTGATAAAGAAACAAATAATCTTCACCCCGGCTTTCCTATCGCTGGGATTACAGACATGCTTCACCACACCCAGTGCTTTTTGACTATCTATTTAATTAATCTAGAAGACAGAAAAGGCTATCTATAGTGAAGCTGATAAAAGCAGACATGACAGCAGAGATGACAACTGCTGTCTGGTAGGGAAGGACGCAAAGGCACAAACTTATTATCTAAGCATATGGCACTGGAAAGGGGAAGCATTAAATACGCTGGATAGGAGACGTAATATATTTTAAAAGGATTATCATTGTGAATGATTGGGATTTGTAGCTTTCTAATGCTTTAGGGGTCTGGGCGTCATGTAATCCACTTTCCTGTACCAGCTTTGTTATTTATTTACCTTGGATGACTTACCTCTCACTGTCTGATTCCTCCTAGTAATAAGGGAATAATAATAATAGCATCTACCTCCTAAAGATGTGAAAACAAGGGAGGCAACCCACTGAAGATGTTAGGAACAGAGCCCAGTGCAGAGTGGGCACCCAGTACAGGCTAGCATAGCAGTTATACCAGGAGTAATATTTGGAGGACTAGCCCCTAGGAAAGAGCTCCTAACCTGGTTTATAAGCCTCACACTGCCCTTTTGCCTCTGGCTGGCCAGGGGTAGTGACAGCACAGAGGTTCCTCCATCATCACAAGGGTTCAGTGAGCATGGGAAGTGCATTGAGCCACATATACAGGGCATGCTGAGTCACATTAGCAGTTTCTAACTGTGTCAGGTAAATAAAGTGTTGGGGTTCTTCAAGCACATTCTCTTTTTGAGGTAGAGAGTAAAACTCACAGTTTCTACATAGTGAAGTCATGGGAATGACACGAAAGATCTAATTGCACTGATGAGTTATCTGGGAGCAATGCACGCAGGTTCAGAAGGATTGTCTGCAATCGCTATTGTAAATCCAGCTTATGCACCACTGCTGGGAAGGAGCGGAAGGGGGTTCCTTCCTTGAAATTATGTACTCCTAGATGTGCCGGGGAGTTCAGTATATTTCACATGCAAAGGTTTTACTGCCAATGCACAGCCTGGTGGAATAAGCCTTATCAGAATGTCCCTGCCATATTGTAGGGACAATTTCATTTTTCCTTTTTTGTTGTTGTTGTTGTTGCTGTTGCCTTGACTGTCATGAACAGCTTCCTCAGCCTACTTTACGAACACAGTATGTGTACATACACTTGCACCTACGTATTTGTACACATAAGCACAAGTGCGCGTGTGCACACTGTAAGTGAATGCCATGAAATTACTACATTAATTTCCAACATCCTGCTTCTTTGTAATATACTCTCAAATGAGGAAAATCTTTGACACTAAAGACACACATGATTCAACCACATTTTGAGGATGAAAATCATTTGTTTGGATTGAAGACAGTGCTATGATTCAGTCCTGACAGAGATCAAAGCAATGCTTTTCACTTTAAGTGAACCACAATTATTTTTTTAACCATGACCTAATTTCTTTTGTAAAGGAAGCACCAAAGAACTTTCGTTGCCAACTCCAGCTGTCAAGTGGCCTCCCATACTTTTGCCCTAAAGCAAAAGGAAGGGACATCAGGTGACAGATCCCAAATTCCAACTAGTCACACAAATTACAGACCTTCCTATCGAGGCGTCCTCTTGACCTTTTACTTTTCCCCTACAATGAAGAATGAGACACAGTTTAAATCAAAATGACTCTCATGGGCAGTTTTACAAAACAAATAGAAGGATGGGAGTTCTGTTCACACCCCCCCCCCCGGCTTCTTCCCTGTCTTCTACCCACACAGGCAGTAGCTAATAATTAGAAGGGCCTTTCCCTCCCCAGACATCCATACTACCCCATTTTGTTTTGAGGAAAGGGTTTGAGAAAGTAAATATTCACACACAGTTATAATCCCTACTTTGAGGGAACAACACTCTGAAAGGTATTTGTAAGTAAGAAAGGGCTTGCTGTGCTATCAGGCGTAGGTTTGGAGCCCAGCAGAGGGTCTGCAAGGGTTCCAGTATGGAGCTCGGCACCTAGTGTCTTTCTTCTCTTCACTGCTAACATCCATGCCCAGTTTACCATCTACCACTATTAAAAGTCAGCTCAGAAATGTACCAGTCTGGGGTCACAGCCTTAAAATATTATTAATTTTAAAAGTAGAGGAAACCTTTGCAACTCAACTGAGGAAAATGATGCCAGGGATAATCAGCATTTAGAAAACACATTATCATTTAATTTTTTTTTTTTTTAGATAAACTGCTTACTGGCTAAAACCTCACTCTGACATGTGTATTACCTGTAGATCTGTTCTCTATAGAACAGGGGGAGCCGAGAATGCTCTTGGAGTGAGAATAGAAACAGGTGCCTGGGCCATCGCATTATGCACATTAGCCCATGGCCTCCTCACAGCCTGCTAAACAGCTGAATCTGAAACAATAAAGGAGCAGGCCAAGCACCCGCCTGAAGGCCTGTCTGCCTTGGGATTTGGCCATTTGCATTGATTTTCTTTCTTTCTTTTTTTTCACTCACATTTTTCATGAAACGCAAATATTTGCCATGGCAACTGGGATGTCACATGACATGCTGTTCCATAAGCAGCTTGGCAATCTCTTAAGAGGAAATGACCCACCAATGCTGAAAACGCACCCTACACCTCTTGAGGGTGTTTGGTCTGGGAGAGCAGGGAGCATTCTGTAGGCACAGTGGGGTGGGTGGCTCTGGAGTTGCTCTCTGGTTCTTCTTTCTTTTATTCATGAGGGCAGTTAAAGACATGACTAAACTCGGGATCAACCTACCCCTGGACCCAGCAATACCACTCCTGGGAATATACCCAAGAGATGCCCTATCATATGACAAGAGCATTTGTTCAACTATGTTCATAGCAGTATTATTTGTAATAGCCAGAACCTGGAAACAACCTAGATGCCCTTCAATGGAAGAATGAATGAAGAAAGTGTGGAATATATACACATTAGAGTACTACGCTGCGGTAAAAAACAATGACTTCTCGAATTTTGCATGCAAATGGATGGAAATAGAAAACACTATACTGAGTGAGGTAACCCAGACCCAAAAAGATGAATATGGGATGTACTCACTCATAATTGGTTTCTAGCCATAAATAAGGGTCACGGAGTCTACAATTGGTGAACCTAAAGAAGCTAAGTAAGAAGGTGAACCCAAGGAAAAACATATAGTTATCCTCTTGGCTATGGGAAGTAGACAAAATTGCCGGGGAGAAAATTGGGATCTTGGGGGTGGGGTGGGATGGGGGTAAGGGGAGATGGGGAGAGAAAAGGGAGAAGGGGAGGATGGGGGGAACTTGGGGAAAAAGGATGATCGGGATAAAGGAAGGTTGGATAGGGAAACACGGAAGCACAATTCTTAGTTAAGGGAGCCACCTTAGGGTTGTCAAGAGACTTGAACCTAGAGTGGCTCCCAGGAGCCCAAGGCGATGTCCCCAGTTAGTTCCTTGGGCAGCTGAGGATAGGGAACCCGAAATGACCCTATCCTATAGCAATACTGATGAATATCTTGCATATCATCATAGAACCTTCATCTGGTGATGGATGGAGATAGAGACAGAGACCCACACTGGAGCACTGGACTGAGCTCCCAAGGTCCCAATGAGGAGCAGAAGGAAGGAAAACATGAGCAAAGAAGTCGGGACCACGAGGGGTGCACCCACCCACTGAGACAGAGGAGCTGATCTATTGGGAGCTCACCAACGCCAGCTGGACTGTGACTGAAAAAGCATGGGATAAAACCGGATTCTCTCAACATGGCGAACAATGAGGGCTGATGAGAAGCCAAGGACAATGGCACGGGTTTTTGATCCTACTTAATGTGCTGGCTTTGTGGGAGCCTAGCCAGTTTGGGTGTTCACCTTCCTAGATATGGACGGAGGGGGAAGGACCTTGGACTTACTACAGGGCAGGGAACCCTGACTGCTCTTTGGACTGGAGAGGGAGGGGGAGAGGAGTGGGGGGAGGGGGAGAAGGGTGGGAGGAGGGGGAGGGAAATGGGAGGCTGGGAGGAGGTGGAAACTTGTTTTTTTTTTCCTTTTCTCAATAAAAAAAAAAGAAAGACATGACTAAACAAGGCATACCAGAAAAGTACTGCCAGATGTCTCCTTTCTATGGAGAAAAGTTTCAATTATCCTAAATCTGTCAGTGGTCCTTAAAATGAGAAAGCAACCTATAAAAAGTCCAGTATCTTTAAACTGGGGCTATCGTCAGAGGGTGAAATATACTGTACTGTAAGGGACTAATGTTAAAGAACTTATTTATTACACTTGTTTATTAATTTATTATAAATTTATTATATATAAATCTATTTATTAAAGTTTAGTTCTTTTAACTAATGTTAGTTAATTAAATGTTAGTTAAAGGAACCCCTTCCTCCTCCCCATCATGATTTTCTATGCAAACTTGGAGGGCTTGTCTTTCCTATGCTTAAAGACAAATGAGATATGGTAAGGGCCTCTCAATAGCACCCCCTGTACAACACAGATGTAGATGTAAAGCAGTTACTGTACCCCAGACTCTTGGCCTCTGACCAGCTGCTAGCATAGATCTCACAAGAATGCAACGGCTCTGGCTATCTTAGACACATGGTCATGGAGTTCATTTATGCATTCATCTTCCCTTTTAAAAGCAGGCGCTGACTGTATGTTCAGTAGTGAGCAGGGTGTGGGAGGCTCTGCCTTTGACCCATTGCACCACAGAGAAGAGTAATAACAATAGTAGCTACAATGCTCCCAGGAGCTGCTGAAAAGATGCTATTGCAGAGCCCAGCTTTCTTTCTGTGTTAGAAACATGAGTACCTTTGTCTTTTGTTTCTTGTGAGGCTCTTCCACATCTTCTGCAATTTGGTATGACTTCTGACCTAGAGCAAAGGGGGCTGTGGAGGGAGGTAGGGCAAAGTTACTTCTTTTAGAAAGAAAGGCTGAGCCATTTGGTGGATGCTGTGGAGTTCAGCTCACAAGTCCTGTGGCTCTGTCACCCACTGTTTGCTTCCTCCCTGCATTTCCTGTACCCAAATCATGACACCTCTGTGACTGCTAACTCCAAAGCCAAATCTATGGGAGGACAACTACTTCCTTAGAACACATGGTCAGGCCGGGCGGTGGTTGCGCACGCCTTTAATCCCAGCACTTGGGAGGCAGAAGCAGGCGGATCTCTGCGAGTTCGAGACCAGCCTGGTCTACAAGAGCTAGTTCCAGGACAGGCTCCAAAACCACAGAGAAACCCTGTCTCGAAAAACCAAAAAAAAAAAAAAAAAAAAAAAAAAAGGACACATGGTCAGCCCACCGCATGCAAAATGCCTGGACAAAAATTAGACCTGTAAAGCACAAGGATTAGAGAGGAAAATTTGTTTCTTAAAACGAAGACTCCTTTAAATTGCCACATTCCCAAGTTTATGGACAAGATAATTAATATAGTTGCATATGATGGACTATTTTATTGGGTAGCTATTAAAAAAAGATGACTAGAAATTAAAATGTTAAAATGCCCTGAGGGAACTGATTTGGTGAATAACACCATAAAGATTATTTTTGGAATTATTAATCTACAAGAAACAACTCTCTCAACTCTCTCAGTCATTTCTTTCCTGCCAGCTGGCTGCAAACTCAACTGCCCTCTGCAGATAGGCCAAGCTTGGCCTTCTAGGGAGAAATCCCTTCCATTATTCTTACCAAGAAAGAAAAGGATTATTTGAATGGCTGTTGAATACAAAGAAGGGAGCCTTCTTCCATCCCAAGTCCTTCAACTCAGCCCTCTTTTCTGTCTGTTCTGTACCAGCAGTCTTTGAAAGAATTGGCATTGATCAAATGTAATAAATGATAGCAATGCACAACTTAGGCTCACTCGGAGGACTCAGTTAACTCAGCCTCAAGTTGGACATCTCTTTAGAAGTAACAAGAATTTCAGAGCATCAAAACTTGCCACACGAGGAATTTGTTTGTTGCATCTGGCCTAGTCTTACCCACTCTCTGATTACTGGCTTCTAGTGAGTCCCTCTGTGACTCCTCCCCATTCTGTAGTCCAGTACACCACACAAGAGTCAGCAGACCCCATTAGAAGCCTACAAGTTCTTGCCTTGACCTGTGCACTCTTCTTTCTGGTGCTCACTTGGAACTCTGCTGTCCTCCTCTGCCCCATCCTGGGTGTCTTAAATCCATACATTTACAAGCAGAACTTGTTTTTTCTAATGTCTGCAGACTCAGTACAGTTTTTGTTTACCTTTTAGGCTCCTAAAGACAAGTGAGCTTTGGGGCTAAATTCCTGTGCTTAGACAACATAGTACTTGATAAGTTTTCAACTTTTTTATCTACTCTTTTATTATTATTATGATGATGATTATTATTATTACAAATTTTCACCTCCTCCCATTTTCCTCCCCCTTCCCCCAGTTGCCCTCTTCAGTCCAAAGAGCAGTCAGGGTTCCCTGCCCTGTGGGAAGTCCAAGGTCCTCCCCCCTCCATCCAGGTCTAGGAAGGTGAGCATCCAAACAGACTAGGTTCCCACAAAGCTAGTACATGGAGTAGAATAAAAACCCAGTGCCATTGTCCTTGGCTTCTCAGCAGCCCTCCTTGTCAGCCACGATCAGAGAGTCCGGTTTGATCACATGCTCCATCAGTCCCAGTCCAGCTGGCCTTGGTGAGTTCCCATTAGATAGGCCCCACCGTCACAGTGGGTGGGTGCACCCCTCACAGCCCTGACTTCCTTGCTCATGTTCTCTCTCCTTCTGCTCCTCATTTGGACCTCGGGAGCTCAGTCAACTTTTAAAGACTTTTGGTTAAATTTAGAGAAGAGGTTGCAAAGTCTTATCCATTTTGCACAGATAAGGCGCAGCCAGTGGGACCTGCAGACTCTCGGGCGCCACTCAGAGGCTGCCGTTTTGCTGCACTGCTCTCTGGCCGTGGACTTTAGGGACACACATCTGAGCAGTATGCCTCTATCTTTATAAAGTTGTATTCCTAGGATTGCCTGATTTCAAAGTCAGGTTCCCTTCTGGAAAGTTTCTAAGACAAACATTTCTAGGAGAGACATTGGCCATTTCAGAAGGGGAAAAAAATCATTCATTTGTAAAGTAAAAAAATAAATAATTTTATGTGTAAAATTATATTTTGCTGCATGTATGTCTGTATGCCTGGTGGCAACAGAATTCAGAAGAGGGCACTGGATCCCTTGGAACTAGAGTTGCAGACAGTTGTGAGCTGTCACGTGGGTGCTGAGAACTGCAAGTGCTCTTAACCACCGAGCCATCTCTCCGGCCCGTTGGTATTTTTCTTGACAAATCTGTATACTTCTGTGGTCATTACTGATGCCTGCATACAAATAGCCTCCTCCTTTCTTCCTGAATAATTTAAAACCTGTTTTTCTTTAGGGTGAGAATATACCCAGTTCCTAAGGTTGTCAGATTTATCAAGAAATAAAGGATATGTAATTTAAAAATTTAATTTTGGAAGTCAGTTTTAAATATATCTCAAATATTAACTATATTTAGGTAAGCCAATAAAGGACAGAATGCTTACTGATGGATTGGACTGATCACAACTCATCATGCTATGTATTCAGTCTAAGCAGTCTAAATAAAAACACTGACTCTATCCCTGGATATTTCCCTGTCTCCCCTGTGGCTAATGGTCATGTACTGATAGTTTTAAAAGGAAACATGCCCTTCACCACTGTTTCCCCCCTTTTCCTACCTAGAATGTGTATGGAAGGTCCAGGTTTGCAAGAGGGATCTTACAGCCGAGACATGATGAACTTGAGGATGAGAGCAAACTTGCTGGAGGTCAATTAGACGAAGCACCTGCCAGTCCTCTCACCCCAACGTGAAGAACTATTGCTAAAAAGACTAAACTCACAAAGTTCTGGCAAGGATGTGGATAAAATGAACACGCCCCTGCACACTATGCCAGGAGAAACGTGCTATAGCAGCAGAAACGAAGCAGGTGTTTGTAGTCAGGGTGAGGGGACAGTGCAGCCAAAGAGTTACAGAAGTGAGCTTTATGCGGGGAGGACAGGGGTGTGCATGAGGTTGGCTGGGTAGGCCCTGACTGGCTGCAAGAAGGACATTTCCCAATAGGAGCGTGAAAGGAGCAGGCTGTCTAATGCAACCGGGTGCAAAACTGCAAATTCAGAAGACTTTAATGGTAGGTTTCTTTTTCCTGGGTGAGGGGTGTGTCCATTGGAGGAATTGAAACCCACTGCAGCCTTGTAAGCAACTTATTGGTGGACTGAGACAAAATGGTGTCACCAATGTTAAGCTATATCAATGGGAACATAAATTATGGAAAATGGAGGTTCCACAAGAACTAATAATAGAACACGATGATTGCCACATATGTGAACTCTAGATAGGTTAATTTCATAGAAGTTGACAGTAGAGTGGTAGCTAGCAAAGGCTTGGAGAGTAAGGGGGAGGAGAGACGGGGAGATATTGCTCATGGTGTTGAATCACAGTGTCTTAGGTTTCTATTGCTATGACTGAACACCCTGCCCAAAAGCAACCTGGGAGGAAGGAGTTTATTTCAGCTTACAGGCTGTAGTCCATTATCCAGGGATGTCAGAGAAGGAACTCAAAGCAGGAAGTTGGAGACAGGAAATGATACAGAGGCCATGGAGGAGTGCTACTTCTCAGTTTGCTCCCCAGGCTTGCTCAGTCTAATTAAGTATACACCCAGGTTGCTAAGGGTGGCGCTATCTAAAATGGCTGGGTCCTCCTATATCAGTCACTAAACAAAAAAATGCCCCATAGACTTGCCCACAGGCAGATATTATGAAGGCATTTTCTCAATTTAGAGTCCTTTTTCCCAAATGATTCTAGCCTATGTCAAGTTAATGGAAAATTAGCCAGCACAGAATTAGAAAAGAACAAGAAGTTTTGGTGTGCTATTTCAACGAGTATAGTGACAGTTGATAATAATGTCCCACATATGTCAAAAGTTCCTACCATATAGAAATGATAGATATTTGAGATGAATGTGTTCAAATTTGTTTAAATATTATGCAATACATATATGTATCAAAATATAACATAACCCATTAGCCATGTGACATTTTATATATTTGCTAAATAAAAATGTAAGAAAACATTACAAAGGAGTTTAGGTCAGCTCACACATGAACAAAAAAATCATTCATGAACATTAAAGCAATTATATATATATATATGCATATATATGATAAAGCAGTCATCATAAAATGCGCCTTAAGCAATTACAAACACGCTTAAAACAAATTAAAAATTATAAAATCTCTACAATAAATTAGAATGTATGAAAAGAAACAAAATGAAAAAAAACTAAAAATGCAATAACCTAAGTTCAAAAGTACAAAGAATGACTCAAAATTAAAATGAAAGACGTAAAGGGATCAGTGATTTGGAAGACAGAAAAGCAGAAATCACTCAATCTGAGTAACAGACCCGAGGCAGAATGAAGAGAAGTGAGCAGAGCCTAAGGACTTATGGGACAAGAGAGTCTGTGTCTGTGCCATTGCGGTCGATACAGAGGGAGGCTGTAAAGAGAAACAATGGCTGTGAGCAATCCACACCTGGTAAATAAAAGCCACAGGTTTAAGAAACTAAGCCAAGTGGAAATGGGCAAAAGCTGAGGAATTCCAAGGCAACACATATCATGCTAAAAACTGAAAACTAAAAATGCAAAATAAAATATCAAAAGCAGATAGAGAAAAGTCATATCTTAACTACTGGAGAAAAACTTCACTGTCAATGGGTTTCTAATCAGAGGCTGAAAAAAGACATGGCATGACTTTTTTTCCTCAAGTGCTAAAACAAAGACATGGCAACCAGAATCATATGCTTAATGAAAAGTTTTTGAGGGGCTGGAGAGATATGTCAGTGGTTAGGAGCAG